CCTATTTTCCATTCTGCCATTTTCCCATTATTCTATTCATTATATAGCATTGATAAGCTCCCATATTTCTTCTTCATCTGCTGTGGTCCATGCCGTCTGGGTTTTGGAGCAAGGATACCAGTAATGTCCGAAGTGGTAAGGACAGTGCTCTGAGGCCTGAGCAGTGCCTGCAGAGAATGGAGAAAGGAAGAGAAGGGCTTCTTGGACTTGTGCTGGGCAGTGAGCTCAGTCTTGATTTCTCTTCCTGTTTCAAAAAGGTGACATCTGGGCTCCCCGCCCTCTTCAGTGCTTCCTTGATTTCTTTTTGTTTTGTTTCTGTTTTGAGATGGAATCTTGCTTTGTCACCCAGGCTAGGTGCAATGGTGCAATTGTGGCTCACTATAGCATTGAACTCCTGTACTTAAGGAATCCTCCCACCCCAGCCTCTCTTCGTAGCTGGGACCAGATGTGCACACCATTACACTTCGCTAATTTTTGCCTTTTATATATTTTGTAGAGATAGGGGCTGGCTATATTTCCCAGGCTGGTCTTGAACTCCTGGCCTCAAGTGATTCTCCCACTTCTGCCTCCCAAAGTGCTGAAATTAAAGGTGAACCACCAACTTTGGCCTTCCTAAATTTCTTTTTTTCTTTTCTTTCTTTCTTTTTTTTTTTTTTTAGACAGTATCTTGCTCAGCTGTCCAGGCTAGAGTGCAGTGGTATGAATCATAGCTCACTGCAGCCTCGAACTCTAGGGCTCAAGGAATCCTCGTGCCTCAGCCTCCTGAGTAGCTAGGACTACAGGCATGCAACATCACACCTGGCTAATATTTTAGTTTTTTGTAGAGACAATCTCCCTATGTTGCCCAGGCTAGACTTGAACTTCTGTCCTTAAGTGATCCTTCCACCTCTACCTCCCAAAGGGCTGGGATTACAGGTGTGAGACACTGCACCCCGCTGTAGATTTCTTAAAGAAGGCAGAGAACAAAAAAAGACTGAAGGGGAAAAATAATGAACAAAAGCACTAGATTCCAGATCGTTTTCTCCAATCCCTCAAAACTGATGTGCTTAGTGAGGTCTTCAAAAATGTAAGCATTATTTTTGCTATATTTGTACAAATGATGCCAATTTTGAGTGTGTCTCTAAGATTGATGACTGCCATGAACATTTTAAAATATCATGGAAGAGAGTAGTACAATGAGCATCTGTATCCCCATCATCTAGTTTTGCCCATTTTCATAAATTATGACAATCTGATTGTTGATTCACTACTATTTATTGAAGTCCATGCTTTAGTCAGATTTCCTTAGCTTTTCCCTGATGCTCTTACTTTTTCTGTTCTAGGATTCCCTCCAGGATATTACTGCATCACATATGATCAACCTGCCTCCTCAGGCTCCTCTTAGCTCATTTATTAAATTATGGGGTCCAGGAGGCCAGATATATTATCACCAGCACCAATGGCTTCTGGAATAGGACCTCAATAAATGTTGACTGAATTGACCCAGTTTCTATTTTAAAATGCCAAGGCTTTGATTGAATCATCTCCTACCTGCTTCTGAGTGGCATGAGCTGCATATATATATATATATATATATATATATATATATATATATAAATTTATATATATATATATATATTTTTTTTTTTTTTGCTTTGTAACAAACCCACTTTTATTGATAGTGTACACGGAGATCCATGGCGGCGGGGTGTGCCTGGGTGAGAGTATGCCACACACCTGTGCAGCTGAGGTGCCCGGCCTGCTCGGAGAGCTCGGGCAGGGGGCGGAGCGGGGACAGAGGCAGGGTCGGAGGTGCTGCTTTGGGCACAGACGCAGGCAGGGCCAAGGCTGGGGTGCGGGTGCAGGTACGCAGGCAGGGGCCAGGGCATGTGTACATCTGTGTTCATCTGTGTGTACTCGTATATACATGGGCATAGTGTACACAATATCTACAGGGACCCTCACAGACTGAGCTAGGGAGAAGGTTGAGGACAAGATGTTCCAAAGCCCTGAAGGCCCCAGGGGCCTTCAAGAGAGGGGGCACATCATGGTATGTACTGAATGCCCAGTGCTAGCTTGCTTCTGCCACTCACAGACTTGCTGTGTGACCTGGGGAAAGTTACTTACCCTCTCTGGACCTCAGAAAGACCCATTAGATGCTCACTAGGGTTCCTTAGGGCCCTAAAACTTCAATACATTTAGAGAGATTAAAATACAAAATATGCTTGTTAAGAGCTGATGAGAAGGGCCTTTGGTTTATGGTTTGTATATATATATATACATTCCTCCAATGCCTCCAGTGAGATATCACTTTGTCCTGATGCAGGGCTTTATTTATTGCAACTAGCAGATCAATAATGTGCGATTAAATTCATAGGTCAGGCCTCTGCTTGGTCTTCTTGACTGAGATACTACCTGTATCTCTAGCTCTGAAATAACAGAAGAGTTGCATGAGAACTACTTTGCTCCTATTGGCTGTGTCACCTTGGGCTGATCACATAAACTTTCTGAGCCTCTCTCACAGGGTTTCGTAAGAATTACTGAGATCAGGTATAGATAATATTGAATGTTAACAGCAGCCCAGGAGTCTTTGTATGTTATGTGTACAGCATATTCAGTCTTCACAACAGGCTTGTACAGTAACCACCCTTATCCTCATTTTACGCTTTGGGAAACTGAGGCACAGAAAAGCTACGTAGCACAAGCACATCTAATACTACACAAAGGACGAGCAGCAAAACTAGGATTTGGACTCCGGACTGTCAACTCACACTCTGTGCGAATGCTTTTTCACCACTAGGTCCTTTGTGAGACAGTAACTCCTAAACTAAAGCATTCTCTCACTTTAGTGGTGGTCAGTAGAGGGAATCTATGTGAGAGATTGCCTGACAGCATGGCTGTCTCCCATTTATACGCAAATCTTCAAAAATAAAACAATTCATCAAATAGTGGATGTCTAACATGTTCAAAGATAAACAAGATTCTTGCACAGTCAGTTCAAATACTGACATGAATACAGGATGAATATCCCTTATCTGAAATGCTTGGACCGAAAGTGTTTCAGATGTCAGATTTTGGAATCTTTGCATATACATAATGAGACACTTGAGGGATGGGACCCTAAACATAAAATTCATTATGTTTCACATACATCTTACATATATAACCCGGTAATTTTATAACATATATATATTTTTGAGAAAGTCTCACTCTATGTATATATATTATATATAAGATATGTATATATTATACATATAATACAGTCTCACTCTGTGTATATATATTATATATAACATGTATATATTATATATATAAATATATAATATACATATGGTGGAGAGATAGAGAGAGACGGAATGTCTCTGTCGTCCAGGCTGGAGTGCAATGGTGCAATCTTTGCTCACTGCAACTTCTGCCTCCCAGGTTCAAGTGATTCTCCTGACTCAGCCTCCCAAGTAGCTGGGATTATAGGCACCCATCATCATACCTGGCTAATTTTTGTATTTTTTTGTAGAGACAGGGCTTCACCACATTGGCCAGGCTGGTCTTGAACTCCTGACCTCAAGTAGTCCACTGACCTCGGCCTCCCAAAGTGCCGGGATTACGGACGTGTGCCACAGGGCCCGGCCTATATAATATTTTTAATATTATAAAATATTAATTTATATATTCATCACATGAGGTCAGGTGTGGAATTTTTCAATTGTGGCATCATGTTGGTGCTCAGAAAGTTTGGAATCTTAGATTTTCAAATTACGGATGCCCAACCAATACTGAGTTCCTTGTTTCTTATCTCTTTCAACACATCTTTCTCCGAAGTAGAACTCTAATTTCTACATGAATTTCCAAGCTTTCCTACTTAAACCTACAGGTGACACTAGCGCTGGCCTTACAGTCTATTAAGGAGGATGCCTATGGCCTGCATCACACAAACTCACACTCTTTAGCAATGTCATGCCCTGTACCTATGGAAGCCCCACAGGACATTTTTATGAGTCCTAAAAATGAATGATTGGCCCCAGGTAATAAAATAATTGAAGATTCAGGTTCCTCTGAAAACCCTATCTAAACACAGTGTAAATTTTAGCATTGTTAACCAAATTCTGGCAATTGTTTATGACTCCAACAGTAGCATGTGTTATTGTCAAAAACTGTACTGGATCTCTCAAAGAGAGTTCAGTGGCATCTAAATGACCATGAGCTATAGAATAAATGCCGGTAGCCGCTAAATTCTTTGAGAATGCTATCTTACATTAGTTAGGAGCTGTAAGAGATTACTGGTTTCAGTTTCACTTTAACCAAATCTGTGACTTTGTTGTAGCTCCATGGTCCTCAACTGGGGACATTTCTGGTTGTCACAATGGGAAGGGATGTTACCGACATCAAGTGGGTAGAGGCCAGAGATGCTGCTAAATAGTAAACAGTGCCCAGAACAGCCTGGCATCAAAGACTTCCAGCTCCAAATGTCAATTACGCTGAGCTAGAGAAACCCCAGTCTCATCCTATACTCTGTTCCTCAAATCTGTCATTAAATAGTGAGGGTGCATGATAAAGTGAAACTTCAAAATCTTAAATGCTTTGCCCATATGCACACTATATGCAAACATATAGACCTTCAGAACTTTTTTTAGTCACTTGGCGTGGAGGTCACACTAGCCCTCCTGTTCCCATGCTTCTCTTTTCCCGGATATTCTGTTTTTAATATGTCCTGCATCAGCATTAGGTCTCTTCTCAGCCCACAGCTACTCAGGCCTTAAAGCACACGAACCCAGTTTAACATTGCATAAACACACATTTTCAGGCTTTTCACAGTCATACAACTAAATGAGGGAGAGAGGACAGAAAGCCACTTCCTACACAGTCAGGTTTGTGACACTTTGTAATGTTCCAAGACCAGACTAAGGCCTTCTCCTGATGTGCCCTCAACCCACCCTCTCTGATCATCACAAAGTGAAATGCTTAAAAAAATTGAAAGAATAGTATCATCACCCCAAGTAATTGCAAATTTTAAAACTGGGAAATGGAAAGTAGTGGGTTTTAATGAACTTCACTTAAAGCCCCTCAAACTGAAGACATTACATTCACCATTAGTATAGAGTAAAAAATTTATTTTCAAATGTCACAGAAACGATATGTGTAAGTCCTCTTCTCCACCTCTTGTCTTCACATTGGCGATTTACTGGTGTCTCTCTTTCCTTCCTTCTTTTTCTTCAGCTTGCTTCCAATCCTTTCAGCCTCTTCACAAACATTCCCTGGGGGCATCTTGCTGTCTTCTGCAGAGAATCTGAAGAAAAAGTAGGAACATTCCCAACTTGTGGGAATCCAGAACATTCCACAGCCATCTTTTCTTGTGTTGAGGGGGAAGGTAGGTTCCCTGCTCGTAGGGTGAGGCCCAACCTGAGAAATCCGGGCGCAGACTTTCTGGTTAGGAATATCTGACCACCACCCCTCAGATGGTCTGCCCTCAAGCCCCCCACTCCTGTCACCTACTCAGTGCTTCTTAAGCAAGCTGTTTCTTGCTACCCGGTCCAGCTGATATATTTGTTTTGATTAAATCAAGAAGACCTGTCCCATGTTGCCCCTGGAGTTTCAGCTCTCTGCATGTGTATGTTAAAAGTTTAAGTGGATCAAGCGAGTGAGGGAGCCCAGGAGCTCGGTTTGAGCCGCACTTTGAAAGTCTGCGAATCTGTTTGACAACTTCCCCGCCCCGCCCCTGTCTGCCTCTGAAAGCCTGTGCACCAACGAAATAGCTACCACGATTTGCTGTGGTCAGCGCAAGACCCAGCTACGAGTTTGTCTTCGTCCTCCTTTAACTTTCAGCAGTATTTCTGAGAGAGAGAGAGAGAGAGCTTTCAGCAGTATTTCTGAGAGAGAGAGAGAGAGAGAGAGAGAGAGAGAGAGAGAGAAATACTGTTCAGCTCAAAAATTTGCTCTAAATGATGCAAGGAAAAGGCTGCGGCTCCGTTTGCACCCTGAGATGCGCGCTGCAGGGATTCCGGGGCTCCGCTAACAAAAGCACAAAGCGTGAATGGCTTAGTGATGGCTGTTTTTTCTCCCTCGGGTGGAGAGATGAGATCACAATTTTCAAGAAGAGAAGGAACCGCCGCTGCCAGGCCATTGAGGCTGCCACTTCCCCTCCCTGCACGGGTCCAGCATTACATCATTGGTGAGCTCTGGCTTGGGGGTGGGTGGGTGACAAGGAGGCTTCTCCAAAGACCCAGCCCCAGACCGGGGAGGATAAACAGAACCACACCGGTGGGGAGGTGGTGTCGAGGAAGAGAAAGAAGGAAAACTCAGGACCCGGTTTCCTGCCACCACCCCGCGTGGGGGGCGGGGAGTTGCTAGGATGAAAAGCAACATCTTTATAAAGCAGCCGCACCCCAAATCTCCTTCCCGCGCGCCACCAGGCCGCCCTCAACTCCCAATTCCAAGTCCAGCTAAAGCCTATATCCATAGCTGCCGGGAAAGCTGCGTTGAGGGTGCCGAAGGGGACTGCTGAGGCGCCCAGGGACGGGGAAGGACCGCGGTGCACGCGCCGGGGGCGGGGGCGCGGAGGCGGGAGGGGGAGGCGGTCGCCGCTGCGCCCCCGCCTGGCCCAGCCAGTGGTGCCTCCCCCGCCAGGCGACAGCAGTCAGAGTGGGGGAGGCAGAAGCGCCTCCTCCCCGCCTGCAGCCCCGGCGGCGGCGCAGGGGGAGGAAGGCACCTTGCCCCCATGAGGGGCGGATCATGCCATGGCAGCGCTGGCGAGCGATAGCGGCGGCAGCCAGCAGAGCCCGAGCGGCAGCCCCAGGAGCCGGGAGGGAACTGGGGTCGTCCTGGAGGGAGCCCCGGAATGCGGGGACGCGGCGGAGACGGTCCCTGCCCTCCCTCCGCTCGAGGACTACGAGTGCAAAATCTGCTACAACTACTTCGACGCGGACCGGCGTGCGCCCAAGCTGCTGGCGTGCCTGCACACCTTCTGCCAGGAGTGCCTGAGCCAGCTGCAGCTCCGCGCCGCCGCCGCCGCCGCCGCCGCCGCCGCCACCGCTGCGCCTGAGCGCCCGCAGCGCCCGCCGCCCTGGCTCGGCCCGCCCGGCGCCATCGCATGCCCCGTGTGCCGCCACCGCACGCCGCTGCCCGACAGCCGCGTGCACGGCCTGCCCAACAACACCAAGCTCGCCGAGGCCTTCCCGCTGGCTCTGCGCGCCGCGCACGACCCGCTGCCTCAGGACCGCCTCCCGCCGCTGCCCGCGCGCCTGCCCGCGCCCGCCGCCACCCCGCCGCCCACCCCGGCCCCGCCACCGCCGCCCTCTCCCGCCGCTCCGCAGCCGCCGCCGCACGCGGAGGACGCGGCCCCCGGGTCTCGAGCCCGCCCCGGCCTGCGTGCCCCGGGCGCCTACGACAGCTGCCAGAACTGCAAGCGCGCGGCGCTCACCGCTGGCTGCGTGTGCGTGGTCTTCTCCTTCCTCTCCATGGTGGTGCTGCTCTTCACCGGCCTCATCTTCGTCAACCACTACGGCGGCGGGGGACCCCCCGGAGGCGGGGCGCCCCCTGGCGAGGCACCGGCCACCGGGTCGCCCTCGCCCTCGCCCGTGGGGCCCATCTGCCTGTCGGTGGCCAGCATCCTGGCGCTCTTCTCGGTCGTTGTCACCTGGGTCATCTGCTGGCTCAAGTATCGGCCCGAGGGCGCGGCCGCGGGCTCGGCGGGGGGCAGCGGCGGCGGCGGCGGCCCGCGGGCACGGGCAGCGGCGGGCGGCGCGCGGAGGAGCGACACGTAGCCCGGCTGCGCCGCAGACCTGGCGCCTGCACCTCCAGCCCCGGGCGACCGAAGAGGGAGCCTCTGGCTCGGTGCTCTCGAGCTTCTGCTCCCTCTTCCTGCGGCTCCTGGGCTCTCAAGGACTCACATCCCCTTCCAACTCTGCCACTGCGGGGCCTCAGTTTTCTGTCCCTCGGGCTTCTGTTACCCCTCGTCCTTCGAGGGGTACCAGAGAGGGAAACTGACCAGGTGCGGATGCTGGTGGGGGGTCCCTTTTGCCTGGACTGTGCAAAACTGACCTCTGCGTTATGCATCACCTTCGCCCTCGCCAAAGTGTGCGGCCGTCCCTCCCCAGAGCACAAAGATCTGCGGAGAGGAGGCAAGGCGAGGGGGAGCCCCGCCGCTTCGTCCGAAAGCGGGTTTTCTGGCTGCCAGAACTTGAGAGTTTTTTTTAAGATGCAGCTGTGCACGCGCACGTGCATATGTGGCGGCTGTGAATGGACTTGAATTGTCCGAAGGAAGAATGAAAGGGATGTAAACACGAGAGGTAAAGGGTGCCCTGCTTCCTAGCGGTCCTGGAAAGGGAGACATCCTGAGAGCTGAGAGTGACGGACACTCCCCGCCGGCACAGCGCGGGCGTACCCGGAGCTGGTGGAAGAACCAGCCGGCTGCCGCTGGGCGCGTTGGGGCAGGTGCACGGCGCGCGTGCGCGCTCGGGGCCGACTCCGAGCAGCAGAGGCGGTGGCGCGCTTAGGGCGGTGAGCCCTACTTGCCCACGACCGGGTGTTGTCTGGAGCAGAGCCCAGAAGTCTCATCTCCTGGAAGCTTGTGGTTGTTTTATTCACGGTGTTACTGCCAGGAAGTCATTTCATCTTCTGTAACTGGACTCAGGGAGCTTAAAGAGCCTGTTCTCCCTTCTCTCAAAAGTGACTTACTGTTGCCCCCACCTGGAAGATACTGAAAGCTATTCACGCCGAATGTAAACTAGATTTTCTCCTTTCGCTCGCCATTTTTCCTCAATTTCATTTAAGATATAATTTATTTTTGAATATATAAATCTGGAAATTTTTGTGCATTAAGATTTCCAGAAAAGTTGTTTGATAAGCAGTGACATTAGTTCCATACCTCGAGTCCAAATGCATTTCGAAATTAGGAGCAGAAAATAAAGGCCTATTGGTAATTGATTCGATATTTTATACTGTGAAATAACTAATGACTTTTAATTATCTGATAAAATATAAAATAGTGCCCAAAGATGAAATCAACTAACTGAAGGTCTTTCTGCCTTTGATTACAAACATATATATCATATACACATATTAGAAAGTATAATATGATTTTGAATTTAGCTGTTTGATATTGATGGAATTACTGAAATGTTCACATACAGTCACATGAGTTGAAAAAGAATACATATCTATCTCATTTTGTAATTACAAAGATGAATTACCAGTGTATGTTGCAAGTGGGTTAGATGCCTTTTTTAAAGAAGGAAAACTGTTCCAAACGTATTTTATATGAAAACATTCTTTATTCCATCTTTTGAAATTTGGAATAAGAAAAAGTTTTCATGCTTAAAAATCGCAGAAGCTACTGAAGATATGCTATTATTCCTCGAGTATTTATGCAAGCTGTCTGCATGATATCCTGACACTATTCTATTAATTGAACTTGAATTGAGCATTTTTATCTATCATGGGGGGAAGTAATTTATTGGCCATTGATAAGTGGGTTTGCTGCAATGTAGAAACTACAATATGAAGTGTTTTATGTCTGCATTGTCTTAATAATAAAAAGAGGTATTTATAGAAAAATCTATTTTATGACATTAATTTCATGGTAAAAGTGCTCCATCACTTGTGTGGCACTTTTCTTCCCTAAATATATGTCCCCCTCTAAATCCAAATTTCACATTTTTAAATGGGGCTGAGGGAGAAATAACTCACACATGGAAATGCACGTTGCTAAAATGGGTGTTTTGCGGGATTATTTCTAGGATTTAATAGGAGCCCAGTGAGATCTGTTGTATTCCGAAGAGAGAAGTAACTTACATATTTACTACCACAACATCTACTAAAATTGAACTCTGTTGTTAGATTTTGTTCTGCTTTCTACGAAATGTTTTTAGGTTTCTATTGCTAAAAATCGCTTTTCAGAGATTAGTTTTAATTTATTTATACCCCCCATGGCTTGTGTTTTACTTCTATATCCATTTTTATCTTTTATTCATTCTTTGTTTACCTCCATTGCTAAAATTCTGTTTCCACTAAAAGCTGTTAAGTTGCAGAAGTATAGCTACACATGTATATATGTATGTATTAGGTATATGTATAAAGATGTATTACATATAAAATATATGCATACTAGTAACAACTTGGCTTTGTGGATGTAACCATGTGCACATGTGTACACACACATGAGTTTTTTATGTGTGTTAAACTGGCAACCTGGAAGTCTGTTTAAAGTTACTTTGGGCACCAGCTTTCTTCTTAGAGTTTATTTGTGTTCCAGAAAAATACACCAATAATGTAACCTAAAAGATTCCTCATAACTGGGAAATACATTCTTGAATCACCTCATTGACAACAAAAGCCACATTTTGCTCCTCTTATGGATTGCATATGTAAATTTCATCTAATTAAAATTTGAGTCAGAATACTTTTAAATCAAAGAGACACACTTAGTGGCTCAGTATCTAAACATGGTGAGATATTTTTTGTGGCTTACCATGCTTTATTGCTAATTTCTGATTTTGTTACCAGGAATTGAGTGACAGGATGTGGTCATGGAAAATATCTGTTTGGTTTCTCATGGTTATCTGGCATTCAGGTGTCTCTCTCACCTCTCTTCATTCAGCAGATTTGATTTAATCATTTCTATTCACGTGGAAGGACTTGCACACCAGCACCTTAGATAAAGCAGGAGTTTAAGAAGTAATTGTTGAAATAACAAGTGAGTTGTGTAGAGGACTCTTGGTGAAAATGAAGTGTTTTTTTCCCTTCCCATGGTTACTTTTATCATCTTGGAAAAGCTTGATTCAATCCTGGACACCTCTTCACCTTATGAGTGAGAACTACCAGTAGAGTCACTACAAAAAAACCCAGCCTGGCCTGGTCTTTGTACCTGGTCAGAAACTCCTGGTTCCCATGTGCAGTGTTCTGCCTAGGTTCTGGGACTACAGGTTAGAGTTATCCGTGAAAGAAACTTATGATGCAGGTGATGAACTAAACATTCAGCCTCTGAATACAATAGGATTTAGTGAAGAACATGCACATCCAGATAGCATATTGGGTTTGGGATCAGTATCTGCAACCAGGAGGTATAAGCCTGAATATTGGTTCTCTCTTTAGTCAGAAAGGCCAATAAAAAGTTATTTAACCTCTTTTGAGTCTCAGGCTCCACATC